CACCTTGGCACCTATTAGGTGCCAAGCACAACAGTAATGTCTAACCCAGTCAAGGATGCCGTTTCCTCATCTCTTTGGATGTGTATTTTTTTTCATACTTCTTTGGTCATGGGTCAGTACCCACAGTTCAGTGAATAAATCAGGCTTGCCTAGGAGAAGGGGCATAAAATCAGTTTGAGACTAACTTAGAGGCTGTGTATGCTCACTGTCATTTTGCGGAGTGGTCACACAGCTGCCTAGTGCCTGAGTGAGGACTTGAATCTGTTTTCCTGATTCCCAGCCCAGGACTCTAGCCACTGCACTACTTACAACCTCTAAACGCCATGGATTTAGAGCTGGAAAGAAACTAAGGGCCCATCTATTCAGCCCCTTCATTTGACAAATGAAGAAACTAAGACTCAGAGAACTAAGTGACTTGTCCAAGGTCCCACAGGCAGTAAGTGGCAGTGCAGGCTTTGAATCCAGACCCTCATACTCCCAATCCAGAACTTTTTAATGTATCTGTGATCATAGGGAAAGTTTCCTCACTCATTCCACTTTCTCAGGTTCCTCTCTAATTGTCTCTCCCCACCTCATACCTTTGGGTTTAATGGTTCTTGGCTTATTGATGTGGAAGCTGGAAAAGTCTGCAACTTTAAGTCAGCTTCTTGACATAATTTAATAGGCCATGGCTGATGTCTGCATAAAGATTAAACCTTAGAAAGAGGTCACTTTATTCATGTGATTTCCCAACTTGTCCAGGCCATTCTAAACAAGTAAGAATCAAAACAAGAAAGGCTTAATTAGGAGTTAAAAGGCCTTTGTAATTTTCTATTGCATTTTCTAATGGAAAAATCTGTTTTCTTTCTCCACAACAGAATCAGTGACTACAACGAAAGTGTATTTTTAAATTTTTGTCCTCTCTGTTTCAGTAACGAAAAAGACTGTTTGCTAGTGGGAGTGGCAGGAGGAATGAAGCTAGGGCAGAACACAAGAGGACAATGGTGATATAGTTTTATTTTTTCAGGTCTAGTGATCGAACCTCTTTCTTAGCCAGGCCTGGTCCCAACCCTACGTTGAAGGAAGAGAGGCTCTTGAAGGCCAAAGAGTTTAGTGATGTGTTTAGGGTCACATGGCAATTAGTATCAGAACCAGTGCTTGGAATTTGTGTGCCTTTGTTTTCAGTCCAGGGCTCTTTCCATCACGTCATGTGAGACAAAAGCTAAAGTCATAAAATCATAAGAAAGATCTGAAATAGGACTTTTTAACCATTGAGGTTCCCTTTGGCAGTATGGGAAAGCCTATGGACCCTTTCTGTTTTTAGAATAATGTCTTGCACAAGATAAAGTACATAGAATTATATAGAATACAGAGTACAACTACATATTGAAATAGTTATCAAAATATAAGTTCCTGTGTTGTAGGCTGAGAACTCCTGGTTTAGAAGGATGGAGAGCCACCAAGCATGGTAAAAAGATAAAAAATAAAGAGGAATTAAATACAGGATAATTGTTAAGGGTAGAGAGACCTGAATGGATATGTGTAAGACCTTATTACTGAGGATTTGATTAAGAAGATTCATTCCAGTGGAAACAGAGAGGTTTGCCATTTTTCCATTTGCAATGACTCTAATGTAGTCTTTGATCAACATTTTTATGAATAGCAGGTATGGCTTTGATATGTCACTAGTTATATTAGTCAATATAACACATAGGAGTCATCTCAACTAGGAAGGCCTATCAGTTCTGGTAGTTTGCCTTTGCTAGACAAACAAGAGCTATCTTTTTGCCTTTCTTTGTATACCTAGCACTTAGCACAGTGACTGGTTCATAGGAAGCCTTAGTAAATGCTTATTGATTTGACTTGACTTAGTCAAATGGGTCATGACAAGTGTTCATAGAAAGCTGAAAAAAACTTATCCTCAGAGTGGCCAGTAATTGCCATTTATCCTGAAGCAGGTAAGTATTCTTGAATGAGTTTGCTGGCAAAGTGGAGGTGTTAATGATTCAGTCATTATCTGTCCTTTTACAGTCCTAATAGCTCATCCCATGAAGTACTTGCTCCAAATTCTGGCTGGCATTCACCCCCCAGGTTGAATTCACCCACCATTGGCTCTGTCTTTTCCCAAAACCAAAGTTACTTACTCTTCCCAATTGATGGGCATCCTCTCAATTTCCAATTCTTTGCCATCGCAAAAAGAGCTGCTACAAATATTTTTGTACATGTGGGTCCTTTTCCCATTTGTATGATCTCTTTGAGATACAGCCCTAGAAGTGCTATTGCTGGGTCAAAGGGTATACACATTTTTACAGCCCTTTGGGCATAGTGCCAAATTGTTCTCCAAAATGATTGGATCATTTCACAACTCTACCAACAATGCATTAGTGTTCCAATTTTCCCACATCTTCTCCAAAATTTATCATTTTCCTGTTTTGTCATGTTGGCCAATCTGATAATTCATTCATTAATGTACTCAACAACTATTTATTAAGCACCTACTATGGGAAATACTCAATGCTAGGCCCTAGAGATTGTACAAAGATAAATAAGGCTTGATTCCTGCTGTCACAGTGCTTGAATGCAGATCCTAGCATTGTTAATCAGAACATTGGAATCTGGTAGATATAGGGCAGCCTATATGTCAATCTGATAAGTGTAATGTGGTACCTCAGAGTTGTTCTCATTTGCGTTTCTCTAATCAATAGTGATTTAGAGCATTTTTTCATATGACTATAGATGGCTTTAATTTCTTCATCTGAAAACTGCCTGTTCATATCCTTTGACCATTTATCAATTGGGGAATGACTTGTAGTCTTATAAATTTGACTTAATTCTCTATAAATTTTTACTTAATTCTCTATATATTTTAGAAATGAAAGCCCTAAGAATATTGCAGGCTAAGAAGATTATCTCAGTCTGTTTTGGAAAAAGTGTCAAGGATCCATTTTTATATTCCAATGTTTTTTTTTTTCATTTCCAGACACAAACTGAGTGTTAGAGCAGGCAGAAGGCTTGACATAACTCAGTTATAAATTGTTTTTGAGTAGAATCTGTTGTGGAAACTAACTGACCTGTTTGTTAAATCTATTTAATTCTCTCCAAAGTTATCAATAATCTCTTAATTGCCAAATCTAATGGCCTTAGTCAGTCCTTATCCTTCTTGACCTCTCTGCAGCCTTTGATACTCTTGATCATCCTCTTCTCCCCAATACTCTTTTCTCAAGGTTTTTGTGACACTGCTGTCTCCTGACAGTTCCTTCTTAATCTCCTTTGCTGGATCTTCATTTAGGTTGTACCTACTGACCATGGATTTCTTCCAAGGCTCTGTCCTGGGCACTCTTCTCCCTTTATTCTGTTTCATTAGGTGATCTCATCAGCTCCTATGAATTCAATTAGTATCTCTCTGCTGGTGATTCTCAGATCTACTTATTCAGTCCTAAATTCTCTTCATTTTGGGAAGATCATACTGTCTAAAAGTAGGAAGTAATCAACAGAGGGAAGGCACTAGCATTAAGGGGGATAGGCAAAGGCTTCCTGTGTTCTGGTGGGATTTTAGTTAAGATCTGAAGGAAGCCAGGACATGGTGGTTAGAAAAGAGAGGCCTGGGGGGCAGAGTTAGGAGATGGAGTGTCTTGTTCAAGGAACAGCAAGGAGGCCAGTGGCATCCATACTGTCTATTGGACATTTTAAACTAAATATACAGTAGACATTTTAAACTCAATATGTCCAAAATGGAATTTACTCTTTCCTCCCAAATCCTCCCCTGTTCCTAAATTGCCTGCTAGTATCAAGAGCACCACAATCTTCTCAGGCCCCCAGGCTCCCAAGCTAGGTGTTATCCTACATACCTAACTTTCACTCGTAGCACATATCCAATCTCTTTCTACAAAGGTAGAAAACACCTTTGTAATATCTCTAGCACATGCTCACTTTTTCTGATGTGGATGTCAGCTTACTGGAGGTCCTCATCAATTCTTATTGGGGCTATTATAATAACCTTCTCCCTACCTCAAATATTTCTTTATTCTAGTCCAGCCTTCACTCAGCTATGAAACTGATCTTTCCAAATTCAAGGTCCGACCATGTTATCCCCCTATTCCATAAATTCCAGTGGCTCCCTATTACTTCCAGAATCAAATATAACATCCTCTATTTGTCTTTCAAAATACTTCATAATCTGGCACCTACCTACCTCTCCAGTCTTTTTATACCTTATTCCCCTCCATGTATTCTACAGGCCAGTGACACTGGCCTCCTTGCTGTTCCTCGAATAAGACACTCCATCTCCTAACCCTGCCCCCAGGACTCTCTCTCCTAACCACTATGTCCTGGCTTCCCTGGGTTCCTTCAGATCTTAGCTAACATCCCACCAGAACGTGGGAAGCCTTTGCCTATTTCCCTTAATGCTAGTGCCTTCCCTCTGTTGATTGTTTCCTATTTATCCTGTACATAGCTTGTTTCTATATTGGTGTTTACATATTGTCTCCTCCATTAGAATGTGAGTTCCTTGAGAAAAGACTGTATTTTGCATTTCTCTATATCCCCAGTGCTTAATACAGGGCCTGGTACATCGCAATCACTTAATAAATGCTTGTTGCCAAAGCTGACTTAAATATCACTCTACGGTCCAAGCCATATAAAAGAATTTGTATTAATAGGGTCTTAGAAATAGTTTAGGGTAGCTAGGTGGTATAGTGGATAGAGCGCCAGGCCTGGAGTTGGGAAGAATCATGTTCCTCACTTCAAATCTGGTCTCAGACACTTACTAGCTGTGTGACCGTGGGTAAGTCACTTAACTCTGTTTGCCTCAGTTTCCTCACCTGTAAAATGAGCTAGAGAAGGAAATGGAAAATTACTCCAGTATCTTTGCCAAGAAAACCCTAAAGGGGATCTTGAAGACTGCAAACAATTGAACAACAACAACTGAAGAAATAGTAACTAGGCACACCATCATCATCATCATCATCATCATCATCATCATCATCATCATAATGCCAGGTGACATTTATGTAGTGCTTTATGCTTTTTGAAGTGTTTTACATGCATTATCTCATGTGGTCTTTACCAGTGCTCTGTATAAGGTAGGTATTAACTGATTTTTTTAATGGATCATTAATGCAGATACTCTTGCCAATGGTGAAGATCACAATCCATCTTGATCTTCTCATTAGCCCTCACCATTTCCTCCTTTACTTCAGTCTCTGATGAAGGCAAACCCCATATGTGTGCTCCAGTTTCTTCCACCTTCTTCAGCATATTGTCCCTTCTTTCTTAAATCTTTCATTTCTGTGTACTAGATCCTTTCCTACGCCTAAAAACACGACCAAATCTCGTCCACCTTGGGGAAAAAACAAAAACAAAAACTACCCTCACTAAATCCCACCATTTCTGCTAGGTGTCTTCTTATATCTCACTTCCCTTTCTCAGTCATACTCCTTGAAACATCTGTCTATATTAGGTGTCTCCACTGGTTGCAGATCACCTTGTTTACATCTCAGCTTCAGAACATAGAAGAAGCCTGTGGTATTTCTCATGGTTGAAGATATGTAGGTTAAAAAGGTCAGCATGATGCTGACTGTAGGGGTTTTGGTAACTATGCTGTGTCTCTATGCTCTTAGTTCCTCAGTTTGCTAGCTTTGCTGTCTAAACTAAGGCCTGGCTCCCTTCACTCTCCCTCCTACTGCTAGTAGAGCAGCAGGCTTCCCCACCTGGGGCTCCTTGGCAACACATGGAAAGAGAGACCTTTTTTCTGTCCCACTTGCCATAGTTTCGGGTCTTTCCCACTCTCTTACACCTTACATGTCTGTGTACCTAGTCTTACATTTTCATCACTGCCTTCTATGTGTCCTCCTTCAATGTTCCAAGATCCCAGAAGGAAAAACTGAGAAATGAAGCTGTGTCAGGATGCTAACATCCTGGAAGGAACCACAGTGCCCTGTAATAAAAAAATATATACTTTATACTAATTTTCAGTAATTTTTTATTTATTTAAGATTTTTCTTAATTGCACATCAACAAAAAAAAAGTTTAACAGTCATTTTTCGAAATTTTGAGTTCTAAATTCTCTCCCTCCCTTCCCCACCCCCTCCTTGAGAAGGCAAGCAATTTGATAATGGATTATATATGTGTATCATTACTCAATATAGATATATTTTTAAAGGAATGAATTAGTGTGGATTCTCCAGGAGATTACTTTCTCAAAACAAGCAGGACAAGACTATTCTTCTACTTACTCCACATCTGACTGACTCTGTGGTTGTAACATGTTGTGAGTTAAGAGTAATATCACATGTGTAGCCATTATGTATCCAATAGGGACATCCAAGTTACCAGCATCTTGCTCACATTTACTGGTGCACCTCTGTTTGACAAAAGCACGCTCAGGGAATCTTTAATACCTGAATGTGAGTAGTCACACATTTGGATAAATGCAGTTTTCAGAAACTCACTTGGGAAAAACTGTGCTCTCAAACAGTCTCAACTACTGAACCTGCCGTGTACTTGTTTCTCTTTCTCCTTCTCCTTTACTACTCTCATTGTTTATTTCTGAGTTTTAGTCTTGTTAGACTTGGCATAACTTACCCTATAGGTCTTCTAAGAAGCTGTCTGATTTTTCTCTCCATTTTTCTTTTCCAAAGTAGTCACATAGGGAATTTCAATCTTGACAGCTCTTCCTAGGCACCTAACTTTGGTTGGCGGCGCTGAGTTGCCTGGGGCAAATAAGGATAAGCTGACTTTAATTAAAAGAACCATATATATCTAAAGTTGATATTTCCTTGTGGGCATTTTAACGCTGCTGCCTTCCTTTTTAGGGAAAAACATTGGTATAGTTTTTTTTTTAGCAGCTCATTTAGAAAAATAATTGAGGGAATTTACTGTTTATATACAAATTTCCTCGGATGGCTATAATAGAGGAAGAGTTACTTGCCTACCTTTGTTTAAGAGGTGATTATTACAGTGTTCCCCATAATGTTTTCCAGTGAAATTGTGTAAGTGATTAGAAACTTCAAAAAAATCCCTAATTATTTGTGGTTTTGAGCAAGAATTCTAAGTACAGATGGTGATTATAACAAAGGATATAGGGAAAGGCTTAACTATATTGAGAATTTAGGCAATAGAATGCCTTGTGTGAAGAAGAGAAAGGCTCTGGGTGGTAGAGTACATGGTAGGGGGAGTAAGGTCTAAGAAGCTTGGAAAGCTAGGAGGAGGCCAGGTTAGAAAAACCGTTGAATGCCAAATAGGGGATGAAATTTGATCCTGGAAATGATAGGAGCATTGGAATTTATTGAATCAGGGGGTGTCAATGTTAGACTAACTCTTTAGGAAAATCAGTTTGGCAGCTGAGTGGAGGTTGGACTGGTATGGGCAGATGCTTGAAGTAGGGAGACCAACCCATAGGCACTTACTATTGTTTGCTGACTTGTTTAAAAGAGCACAAATAGAACCGATGTTCTTACAATTACTTACCTGATTCTTTTTTTTTTCTTTTTTCTTTTTTGGTGAGGCAATTGAGGTTAAGTGACTTGCCCAGGGTCACACAGCTAGTAAGTATTAAGTGTCTGAGGCTGGATTTGAACTCAGGTCCTCCTGATTCCAAGGCCAGAGCTCTATTCACTGTGCCACCTAGCTGCCCCACTTACCTGCATTCTTGATACTATTGTCTTCTGCCTCCTCAGGATCCTTCTCCAGAAGTCATCTCCTCTGCTTCACTTCAGTTCAATTCACTTGCAAGTGAAGACATCACCCTCATGTTATTGGTACTCTTCCAGAACAAAGGATGGACAAGAACAATCTGTTCCCTATCAAGTGACTATTTCCCATCTGTCTCCAAAGAGGTGACCCTCAAAACTAAAAGAAAGTAGAAAAAAAAAAGCCTTCCTGGTGATGATTGTAGCCCAACCAACTGCCGTTCTCGGTTTTATTAAATTTCTTGAATATAAATCATCTCTACCTGATACTTACACTTCACAACCCATCTCTTCAGCCTTTTTGATGAGACTTGTGCCTTGTACCAATTGACTGAAACTGCTCTCTCCAAGGCTATCAGTAATTTCATAATTGCCAAATCCAATGGCCTCTTTTTTTCCCTTCTTTTCTTATCTTTCTTGGCTACTCTGCAGCTTTGAATACTGTTGACCATCCCTTTCTCCTGAGTATTCCTCCCTTAGCTTCAGAGACAATATATTGTCATGGTTTCCCTCCTAACTTTCTAACTGTTACTTCTCTATTTCCTTTGCAGTTTGACTGGAAATTTGATGACTTCCAAAATCAACACCTACAGTTCTGATTTCCAAATTCACAACCTCAACTGCCTAAAACAATCCTCTTTATGACTGTTAGATGTTCCCTAAGCTCTGTCCTTAACTCCCTTTTCTTGTCTCCCCACACTCTTCTGGCAGTCTTATTGATTCCCACCATTTCAGCTATGGCCTCTAGGCAGATATCTGACTTCTAAATCTCTCCAGTTCTGATTTCCCTTCTGCGATACAGGTTTGCATCTCCCACCACATTTGGAAAATCTCAATTCAATTTAACAAAAACATTTCTTCAGCACCTATTATGTGCAAGGCACTGAGCTAGGAGCTGGATATACAAAGACAAAATGAAAAATTGTTCCTGCCCTCAAACAGCTTACATTCTATTGAGAGAATGCAGATTAAAAACAGAATACAAATATTATCTTATTTGATCCTTATACCAACCCTGTGAGGTAGGTGCTATTATTCTCCCCCTTTTACAAAGATGAGGAAACTGAGTCAAAGAGAGGTTAAGTGACTTGCTCAGGGTCATACAGATAGGGAGTATCTGGAGTAAAATTTGAACTCAGATCTTCCTGATTCTAGTCAAAGCCATTAGCTCTTCCACAGATAATAATCTGCAGTCAAAAGAAACTTTCTCCTTTGAGACTATTTATTAGCTTGATGTGTTATACCAGGGTGACCTCTTTTTAAATTTCATTTTATTTTTAAGATACTTTTTATCGTGCCTTTTGACTATATATTGCAGTGATTTCCCACCCCAACTCTGTTTGAATGCTTTCTTGTGACAGAAAAACAACTAAGCAAATATGATCCACTATAGAAACTTTTTGACAATGTATGCCATCATCTATCCTAGCACATCCCCATGTCATTGCTATGAGGGAGGAAGGTGGATTATGTTATGTCTTCTCCATGACTCATTTTTTTTTTCCATTGCTCAGAGTTCAATTTTCTTTTAGGGATCTTTTAATTTACTTGTTGTGCACATTATTCTCTTGGTTCTGCTTATTTTTCTCTGTAATGGTTCATATCTATCCTCTGTGTTTCTCTGAATCTTCATATTTTTTCTTCCTCCACAACAATACTTCTTAAGTGCACGTACCATCATGTTCTTGGCCGTTCCCCAGCCAATAGAACCCACTTCATTTCTAGTTCTCTATTCTTTGCTAACACAAGGAGGGAGAGATTCTGTGACCGTGTTGTTTTTTCCAGTCGCTGAAACCTTCTGGGACAGCTATCAAGTGAGTGGGATGCTAGTGGCCCAAAGAGGTTGTTGATAAGTTTCTGTTTGAACTATAGGAGAATTCTTTTTCTCACCTAGGGAAAAAGAATCTCTTCTTCCCCCAAAAAAGCTGAAGAAAGTGTTCTTATTAGAAGGACAAGAGAGGACCACCTACCTGGGAGTTCTGCTCAGCGAAGTGGTCTACTAGAGCTGCTAATCTTGTGAAATGCTAACAGTGACCTCTTCCTTCCAGTGCTAGGCCCTGTCCTCTCACGTTAGCCAGGTCCTCACTCAAAGGCAGTGAATGGGTATCCATGGGCCATTTCAGGCCCTTACTTAGTCTGCATACATCACATTACATCATCCCACAAAGCATCTTTCAGTCAAACCTCACACAATGCAAAGAGGTTGGCTGTGTTCATTGGGGGTTAATAGTTGTCATGGGGACTCCACATTCCAGCATCAGCTGCTAATGTGCAAAGCATGTTGTTTGAACCTGGCCAGGAGGAGACCATGGGAAAATTCTTGCATAATTTGTAAGATAAAAACAAACCCACTTAAAAAAAAAAGGAAAGAAAGGGCCTCTGATCTCCCTCTG